GAGCCTATCTGAACTCCAAACTTGGAAAATGACATTCAGCTGACATTTAACGATTGCACACCGGGCCGGCCCTTCTTCATTTAATTTGAACTGGGAAAACGTATTGAGGGGCATTGACTAGTGTGTGTGTTTAAGGAGGAAATGAAGATTCTCAAAACCTAAGGGTCTTATGTGGTGCATCCATTCTCCTTCCAGATTCTTCACTATCCAGACAGGGGTTTAAGGAAGGAGAGTGAGCAGACGCAGTATTCGTTTGTAAATAAGAGACTTTCGGCCACTGGCCTGGGACTGAGAACACCCTGCAGGCTGGGGGACACCTTCATGTGACATCACAGTGAGCGAGTTGAGGGCTGTGGGTGTCACCAGCACTCTCCTTTCTGACAACACTGTGAGCTCTGAGGCACAGGCTGACTCTTAGCTCTCTTCTTGTCCTCACCGTGCCCAGCGCAGAGTTAAACCCAGGCGTCAGAGACTATTATGGACCTTCCTCCGGGGAAATGACAGATGGAGCCAGAAATCCACACTGATCCAGCGCTGATGACCCATGTGGCTGGGGAAGAGGCAAATCCGATGGAGACAGAGGCACGGGGTGAGGCCCAGAGTTCTGAAAAACCGCAGGGCCAGCACACACGGTCCGGGCCGCGCACAGAAGGCAGAATTTCTGCAAACTCATCTTTCAAGCTCTCACTTCTATGATTTGTCCATGTTATTTAGACATGCAATGAAGATTTCCCCATGTGTTGCTTTTTGGTTGTTTATTTTCCTTACAGAATGATTCCAAAGAGAAATGGACATGATGCTGGTGCAGCACCAAGGGCTCTGAGCTGGGAGATCCTTTGTTACCCTGTTTTCTTTCTCTCGTCTCCTCGTCTTCCTTTCCTCCCTCATGTCTCTGCCCTTTCTCCTTCTTCTCACTTTTGTGCCTTTCTTCTCTGTCTTAGTCCATCTGTGCTGCTATAATGAAACACCAAGACTGAGTAATCTATAAAGAATACAAATTTATTTCTCACTGTTGTGGAATCTGGGGAGTCCAAGATCAAAGCACCAGCTTGTGAGGGCCCAGTGTCTCTACTTCCAAGATGGTGGCACCTTGTCACACAGCATCCTCTGGAGGGGAGGAACACGGTGTCCTCACGCAGCACAGGGGGAGAAAACAGCGAACCCACTCCCGCAAGCACTTTTGTTAACAACTCTGCCCTTGTGACCTAAATACCTCCCTAAGGGCCCCCTTGCCAACACTGCTGCGTTGGGGATTACATTTCCTACACGCGAATTTTGGGGGCCACATTCAGACTACAGCACTGTACCTTGTCTCCCTGCTCACAGTGACCCTCTTCCCCGCTCCCTTCCCATTCCCTACCCTGGCCCTCAGCCCACTCCCTTCCTGGTGATGAGCTAAACAACTGTCAACTTTTCCTATCATAAGCATGCTAGGTTTTATTTTCTTTTAGAAACAGGGCTGGTTGGTGGTGTTTTATTGTGGCCATAATAAAACTACAAAGATTTGTTAATTCAGCTGTGACATGTACCAAAAGTCAATTTTATTGCAAAATCTCTTCCCATTTCCCTAGCCTTTGGGGTCCTCAAGACCTTTCAGAAAGCCTTGGAGGGAGCAGCTTCCACAAAAACACAAAAGTTTAGGGAGTGCTCCCAGCAGAAAGAAAAAAAACAGAAAACGTTGAAACAGGATATGAGATATAAATCTTCCCTCAGCCTGGCTAAGTCAACCTAGTAGGCCCAGCATTCCACTCAGCTTCTAAGGTCACCTACATCAGTTTCAAAATAGAGTCACTTCCATTTTCCATAGAAAACAAAGCCAAAAAAAAAAAAGCTATTTCTATTATGAAATGGGGAAAAAATTCTCTCCTCAATAACACTGGGAAAAGGAAAATTGAAGGGACGATGTAAGGGTCACCAAAGGAGCTAGACCCAATAGGTATTGACATATTGGTGCCAACCACAGGGAAGAGGCCCTCCCACCCATGCAAGGGCACAATCATCAGGACCCTGAGAAGTCTGAAAGGAAGATACAGCCTAAAACTAGGACCACTCTCACCACAAGTCAATCGGGGCCAAGTGCTCCCAAAGGACAGCAGAGTCCTTGGGAAGCAGGTGATGCAAGAGGCAAGGCCAGGGGATGTGACTCCCCAGCAGAGCACAATGCTGGTGGGCACCGGCTCAACGGGCTCGCCCAAAGTGGACTGGGCAGTGAACACAGGGACAGGGGATAGTGTTGCCTGACCACATGCTCGGCTGGGTCCCCAGAAAGCTATGTTGATTCAGTGGCCTGTTTAATTCAGGTTCAAATTCCGTATCTGGGCCCCCAACACCCTCCTTGCCTGCCCCTGTTGCCCGCGACAGCCTCTCTGATCTCCACGACACCACACTCCCACCGTCACCACACTCCAACCTTCATGCATTTGTTCCTTCTCCCAGTACCCCTTTCCAGCCAGGTCCCCAGCGGCCTCCCCTCAGAACCCAGAGAGGACCATGCCAGAGCCTCGCCCAGCTCCGGCACACACCGAGTGACAGGGTGGACCTGCTTCCTTGGCAGCACTTCCAGAGAGTACAGGGGCCTCAACAGCCAAGGCGTGGCTGGGCGGATGTGTGCCAAGGTCCACAGGAAATTAGCGAGGTTCTCAAAATCAAGCACTATTTCCTCAACTACAAAATGAGGAAAACATCATTTACCCAACAGTGGTCTCATGAGGATTAAACGACATAATGCTTGTATAACACCTAGTATGGTGCCTAGTGCACCTCACGTTCTTTCATCTATTTATAGGAATATGCACATACATACATACAACACAAATATGTACTAAAGTAACTGAACCTATAAGAACAAGAAATACAACAGGTACCTAGATACTATATCTACGGTATAATGTTTTAATTAAACATCAAAAACCAAAGGTGACAAAGGAATATGATTAAAGCTTAAGAAAAAATAAAAATGCATTAAAATTTCATAAGCTTTTTCCAATTTAAGTGTATTTTAAACTCTATGAAGTAGTGGTCCTCATTTATACTGTGACAGGGCTTGAGCAAAACTGCACGGGATTTGTTTCTGCAAAACTGTCTCAGAGAGGACAATAGAAAACAAAGGCATATGACATAGAAACTGAAAACAATGTTCAGCTCTGACCGCCCTTACCTTTGACCCCGTGAGAGTGTACAGCCACTGAACGGTCTCATCGTGCTTAATTACTCCGTTCATCCCGTCCACATACAACATAATTTGTCCCAAAGCTACAGAAGAGAAAAAAGCAAGGAGACATTATAGACTTACGTATAAAATAACCTTCAATAATCATAATGTCAACTGAGATTTTCATACTTGAAGTACACAGTATGTGAAGAACCAAATCTGAAGAGATCTCCTGAGCTCTGAAATTAGCTAACTCTCATTTCAGAAAGTGCTGACCACACCAACAGAAACAAGGGCTGGTCCTGGTGTCTGGAAGATCCAATTAAGGCACTAAATCCAGTGATTGTTGTTTCTGTGTGCCTAGATGTATAAATGCGTGTTTTCGCGTTTCTATATTTGTGTGTAGTCCCAGACAGAGCAAAGATGTCCATGAGTTGGTGTCTGGGTTGTAGCCTCTCACTGGGGCCAAGAGGACACATGAAGTTTCCAAAAGTGACCTGTTCAGTGTCCCAGCCTGTGGTCAGCAGGTCCCAGACTCTACGGGACCATCCTGAGCTAATACAATTTTATTTCTTTAGATAAACAATAAACATGTACTTAAATATTATTTGTATTTCCTTTTAAAGTTTTTCAGAACAAAAATGTCAAATATCATGAAAAAAATAACTTCTCACAAACCAAGTCCTAAATTCTTAGTTTAGGAAAATACAGTCACCGTATATGGTCACTATTCTCTAAAAAGAAAATACAAACCATGTTTTCGTTTAAACAAATGAATTTTTTTCAGTTCCATTAGCATCAAAATAATTTGGACTCTAGATAATGAACAGACAGAAGTTACATACGCTAAATAAGCAGGCTTCCTTAAATCACATCTAACCTCCGAAATCATATTTCAGCCATAATTAATTGGCATGGCACTGACATTGTTTAGGCAACTCTTTTTCCTGGTAACAGTAGAACACCTCATTTTAGAAAACTGCAAAAATGTAGAAGAGTAAAATGAAAATAATTCATAATCCCATAATTCAAGGATAATCATTCTTAATATATTGATATATTTTCTTACATTCTTTCTTTTAATGCATTACACACAAGCACAAAGTTTATATGTAGGTTGTAGGAAACAGTCTACTGGAAATGGTATTGATTTGAAAAGAGCAAAACACAAAATTAGTGTACATAGAGTATACACTAATTCTAAATATATAAATATATGTATGATATTAGAAAACTCATTATTATCCTATCAAAAGATCAAACAAAACTACATGATCATTCTGAGAAAAACCACCCTCCTAAATATGTAAAAACTCAATTTTTAAAAATTATATGGACATATTCTTTATACAACAAATAGTATATTTTTAAAAATAACAGATTCATATTCTATTTGATGGTGAAATACTAAAGATATTCCTAATAAAATCAGGAATAATTTTTAAATGATGCCCACTAAGCTCATGATTATTTAATACTGTTATAGAATTTCAGGCAAACATAATAAAACATTAAAAATAATAAGAGGCAGAATAGTTGGAAACAAATACATAATACTGTCATTATTTGCAAGTAACATTATAGACAAAAAAATTCAGAATTTATAATGAAGAAATCACACTTATAGTATTTCTCATCTTAATAATATATAAATAACATACAAAGAAACTCTAAGTTTCATATTAAAATATAATACCAGATAAATGGACATATGAAAACAAATATGACTAATATTTATTGTGTAAATTAAATAATATTTATTGTGTAAATAGTTCATATAAACTGATAGGAAAATACTAAATACCAATAGAAAAAAGGCAAAAGCATAAAAAAGATAAGCTGATTTACAATAATATACAAAATTGTCCATTCTCACTATAACAAATGCAAATTAAAACACTAAATACTGAGGTAGTATTTTCACCTAAATAGGCAATGATATTTTAAAAAGAAAGAATTAGGTATCAAATTCTAGAGTAGCTAAGTAACTTCATACATTCCTGGTGGCAGGGCAAATTGGTAGAAACCTGGTAATTAGGCTATTCAGTGCTGTAATTGTTTAAAAAACAGTAACCATGTGTTTAGTGCTCACAGTGTGCCAAGCTCTAAGGAGGGACTTCATATGGTTATTAATATGACAGCCCTGAGCAGTGGTTACTATTATCCCATTTGACAGAGGAAAAAACTAAGGCTCTGGGAAATGGGGGAATGTGCCCAAATCTCCGTTGCTACTAAGAGGAGAAACCCATCTCCGGATAGGATGGGTGGGTTCCTATGTGTCTGTAGTAAAAGCCTGAAAGTCTTCTTTAAGTGTTTCCCCACTTGTCGTAATTTGGGAAATGTATCCTAAGGAAATAACTCTAAGTTAAAAAAAAAAAGGAAGCAAAGATGTTTACTGAAGTGTCATTTATAATATCAAAATAATAACTAAAACCTAAATAACTATCAGGGTCCTAGAACTCTATACACAGTAATTTACCAAAGCTACGTCCTAACCTATAAAATGTTTCTGATAAAATAATTAAGATCAAAGTATAGAAGTGTAAACATCACATAATTGAATAAAATGCTCAAATTTTTATACATAGAAAGAAGGAAAGAAAAACCCATAAAATACTAAGCAATATGATTAACTGTATATTCTTTGAATTTATTTTTTCCTACTTTTTCTATTTTCCCATTTTCCAGTATGAGCATCTACTACTTCTGTAATAGAAAAGTAAACAAATATGTAAAAAGGAACAAAAATAAGACTGAATATTGTAAGGCCTTAGATGTTTGTTTTTAGAATGTTTTACTAGTACACCCCTCTCAGTATACCCCTCCCTCCTTCAGAAAGATGCAGCCCCACCTTCATGGAAAAGCTCTGAGAATTTAGGACATTCTGCCCCAGTTTTTCGCTTTTGTTTTCTCCTCCCCCTCTCAAGACAAATTGGCAACTCCCCAGGGAAGACTTTACTCCACAATCCTTTTCCTGCTGAGTTTCACTGTGGAAGACGACAACCCTGAGGCGCGTGTTAGCATCTGCTTCTAAACCAACCTAATCGTATAGATAGAGAGAAGGTAAACTCTTCAACCTTCTGGAAGGTGTATCTGGTGGGGAGGACTCTTCCCGAAAGTCTAAGAAGCCAGGAATGAGCGTCTCCGCCCTAATGGGCCGGGGCCTCTGCTACTGCACAGATGCCCAGGAAGCCAGGACACTGCTGCAAAAGGGAGAGGCAAATTAAAATCTAACAGACTTGATCTGTTTCCCTCCAAGATTCTATTAACTGATCACATGGAGATGTGTTACCAGGAAGTTCATATCTAATGGAATTCAAGTTTCTGATCACAATGATTTATCACAATATTTTGGTAGTCGAAAGCTTTTGTACCTGCGGTAGCCCTAATTTAAAAGCAATCCCTCCTGTAAGACCCACTCCGGACACAAGATGGCGCTAAAGAGATTCAAGTGGGTTAATACCGCAGGGTGACATGTGGGCGGGGGAATAAAAGCCACACGGGGGGGGGGGGGGGAGTAGATGTCATGAAAACACATGTGTTTGGGTCACAGGAGCCATAAAAGTTAGTGATTTGTGTTTTTTAAAAGGATGAGGGGGCTGAGACTGTGGGAACAGAGTGGTAGGTAGCTCCACGGGTCTAAAAAGAGACTGCTCGGGGCGTTTCTTGTGCAGCCACTCCCAGAACTTACTCTAGGCACGTTCATTCATTTTTCTGTGCCTCGGTTTCTTCATCTCAAAAATGAGATGGTAGTACTGTAGTACCTATTTTACAGGGCCGTTGGGGGGGGTGTTGAGTTAGAAAAGTGTCTGACCCACAGGAAGTGCTCAATAAATGCATAAACCACCTCCCTGACGTCAAACGTTAATTACCCACTGCACAGAAGCACGTGTTGAGCGTCTCTCAAAGACACACAACGTGAAGGAGCGAGCATCTGGGCTGACCCTACTCAGCTGTGGTCAGGAGATGCGACGGAAGAACTCCTTGCTTAACCTGCAGTCACAAAGATTTTCCCCTACATTTTCTTCTCAGATTTTTATAGTTTAACTTTTTCTATTTACCTATATGATCCAATTTGAGATTTTTGTACAAAGTGCGAGGTTTAGATTGAGGTTTAGACTGTCCTTTCCATTTCACTGTTTTTTGCCAATGTGCCAACAATCAATTGGCTGTGTCTGTGTAGGTCTATTTCTATTCCATTGGCTGGCCTATCCCTTTGCCAGTACCAAACTATCCTGATTACCACAGCTTTACAGTAAGTCTTAAAATCGGGCAGTGCGATTCCTATTTCATTCTTCTTTTTCAAAGTTGTTTTCGCTATTCTTGTTCTTTTGCCTTTTCATATAAATTCTAGAAACAGGTTGTCTAAAACAACAAAAAACGTTTTTGGAAATAGTGTTAATCTATAGATAAATTTGTGGAGAATTGACATCTCCACTATGTTCTAAATACCATCTTCTAATCCATAAACCCATTATGTATGTTTACATTGTGTGTTTTCTCTGATTGCTTTTGTGAGTATTTTGGAGTTTTCAACTATAGATCTGGTACATGTTTGTTTGTCGCTCAATTTATAAGTAGTTCACATTCTTTGGAGCAATTTCAAATGATATTTTAAAAACTCTTCCATTCCCAGTTGTTTATTATTAGTATGTGGAAATAAAATTGATTTTTGTGTACTGGTCTTGTATCCTATAACTTTGTTAAACTTATTAATTCTAGGAGTCTTTTGTGTTTGTAGATTCCTTAGGATTTTCTACAAAGACAATAATGCTGTCTGTGAGCAAGAAAAATTTTATTTCTTCCTTCCCAATCTGTATCCTCCTTCACCCACCACCCCCCATGCTGTATTGCACTGGTCAAGACTTTCTATATAGTAATTGATAGGAGCAATGACAGTGAAACTTGCCATGTTCCCAGTACAAGAGGGAGGCATTTGGGGTCATTCACTATTATGATGTTAGATATAGGTTTTTGTAAACTGCCTTTTATCAAGGTGAGGAAGTTTCCTCCAATTTCTAGTTTGCTAAGGGTTGTTTAATCATGAATGGATGATGAATTTTGTCAAATGCTTTTTCTACATCAACTGACAAGATGATGT